CTGCCGTGATAGCTCAATGTCCGGGCGCTCGCCTTTAATTCAATATACTCGAGCAACCTGAGTTCAATCCCCGGTGCCGGCACCAATGAAATTGTCAATTTTAAGTGCTGAATTATCACGTGCTCAGCGGTGAAGGAAAACATCGTGAGGAAACCTGCATATTTTCGAAATAATAACAAAAAAAAATATTTCGAAGGTATGTGAAGTCCGCCAATACGCAGTGGGGCCGCGTGGTGGACTATGCCCTGATACCCTCTGTATAGAGGAGGCCTTTGCCCAGCAGTGGGACATGTATAGGCTGATACTTTATACAGATATAATTCGGAGTATTATTGGCAATATTAGAATGAAACCAAATCAATAGCTTATTTTATAAATTTTACTAAAGAGTTTGAAACCTTGTGTAAAATTTTCTCTTTTTTTTTTCTATTTTACATGAGAAGGTGGCAAGCGAGCTGATTGTTCACCTGATGTTAAGTGATACCCGCCGTCCATGGACATTTGCAATACCCGTAGGGTTGCAGATGCTTGCAAAAGGGCCCCTTCTATTTCATACACTATACGAGCCGCAGAATTATACCACTTCCACTTCACGCCGTTTTTCTGTAACGTCGTGGTACTTACCCGGACGGACCTGTCCATTCGTCCATCAGCCGAAGCTGTTATGGCCCTGCCACTCTGAAAATTGTATATCTAAATATTTATGTTACAACTTCTACGTATTTTATGTGGTTTATTTCACGTGACTCTACGATTCTTCTCGGCATTATGTAACTACCTAAAGACTGTTCCGGGTAATACGGCATTTTTGTTTTAGGACTTTTTGGTGGTGTATTTTTTTTTAATTAATCATCTATCCTATTCTGTGACTGCCACTTGGTTGCGGTTTGGTATGCCGATGATTTGGTGGTGCCTGTATTCGAACCCAAGAACAGTGAATATGTAGCGGTCCTACCTTCCTTATCTTTTAAATAATCTTATCGCAGTATTCTCTTATTGCGAAGCACTTGAAAATAATCATTACAGCTCTATTAAGATTCAATCTCTTATCGAAAAATAAACACGAGGCGAGTCTCATCATATCTTTTCGATGTCACAAGTATCTCGGCCTCTCTCAGAGGCGACAGTTGCGCTCAAATTTAATATATTTAACTACATTTATCTTCTTCGACTTCAATTTTTAAAGTTGTCGAACTTATACTCGAATTAGAATTGAAGCAAACTAGAATAAAATCAATTCATTTGCGATTTTAGATCATAGAATTATCAGTAAGACACCGCTAAGCGCGTAACTAAGTACGCCCGGTTTATGAAACACTTATCTAGAAGTTAACTAATCAGTTGTAAATGGCTTTTCAAATGTCGTTTGAGTTGATAAAAAAAATTTATCAGAAGATCATTCTGCGTTTTTTCTTTGTTTTACTTTGATCGGTTATACTTATATTATTATATTATGAGTTTATTTAGTTGCACCAAGAGATTAGGCGTCGCAACAACACAGTATCCAAATCATTAGGGATCGAGGTGAGCTTCCAGCGGTAGATTAGTTTAAGACGCGCTCGATCGAGCCGGCCCTATGATGAAAACTCATGCCTGAGGGGTGCTGCGGTGGGGCGGGTGGTTCAGTGGCGTCGCCGCGCCGCCCTACCGTTGGGTAGCGTGTTCGATCCCCCCGCTGCAGAGATGCCCGATGACCAAAGGATTATGAGAGCTGAGGGCTGTCCATTTTCAGATCGAACCGCCGGAAGTTCGCCTTATACTATTATTTCCAAACATACACAAGGTATATTTCATGTTGTACAGTCATTTACACACAGATAATATTTTAGGTAATACATATACGTAGAACGAGCCGTAATAGATCATTGTCCGGGCGCTCGCTTTTAATGCAATATATTCTAACAACCCAAGTTCGATCCCCGGTGCCGGCATAGTGATGATTTATCACGTGCTCAGGGGTGGAGGAAAACATCGTGAAGAAACATGCATATTTTCGAAATAATAACAAATATTATTTTCTTGATTTTACGCGAATATTATACATATTAAATGAAACTACTTTACGGATTTTATCGCGTTTTTTATTTTGATTTAAACTCCCGTCACGTTCATGGTCCCGTCACGTACATGGGACAGACTGTCCCGTTGACCATGAACGCTGGAAAGGGTTCGAAACGTCGGGAGTTTAAATAAAAAAAAAAAAAATGTGTGCGTGTACTAGCGTACACTCGTAAGAAGTGAAACTTTTTTATGACGTTATTTTTCAAAAAATAATTTACTATATGCAACTTTACAGAAATTGGTTAAATAAAGTTAAATTAGATAAAGTTTAATAAAAGGCTTTTATTATCATAGACATAAATACAAATTCTACAATTATTTCATTTTAGCTTTGTATAATATTTAGTTTCTTATTTGTAATACATAGGTGGCGTTAGTAGTAAATTAAAATACACTATGGTTTGACCGTTGTAATTAGTATGAGGGTCCGCAAAAATTGTTGATTAAAAAACTTGCAACTTGCGTCCTTCGTTGCCGAATAGTCAGCCAGTGAGAAGGCAGACATTCGACTCGCGCGCGAGTGTTGTGAGTTAAGTTTTTTTGGAAAACTGAACTTGCGGACGTTGGATCGACGTCGCAACCGCAAGTTCCAGGAGCCGATCGAGGCTTCGAAGAGCATCATCGGTCAGCTTTAGATTGTGTCTTCGGTGGAAGGCGCAGTCAGGTCACGGTGGGCGGTGCCTGCCTTTGGAGAAGAGGAAGTCTCTACAGTGTCGTGCTCTGAAGTATTAGAGGTAGCACTGTCATTTACTACAAATATTATAATTGAATTTCATTAATTGTAATAGAATTATTACTATCCTTGATGTCGTTATTATATATTTGTGTTATTAATGGCTTATGGTAACTGAAATACGAAATATATTGTTTTAGAATTAGAATTAAAATAAACCCTTTGATTTTGCTGATCACTTTAATATAACATATATAAATATATATATATATATATATATATATATATATATATATATATATTGTTATGAACACAAAAAGGAACTAACGCCATCTAGCGTCAACTATTAAAACCACAACAACAAGATGGCGCGTAACGCAAAAATGTTACACAAAATTTTTTTTCCAACCCCGATAAAGAAGTTTCACTTCAAAAACGCGATAAAATCCGCGTAATATTAATAATGACAAAAATGATATTTCGAAGATATGTGTTCCGGATTTGGGTGTTTATTTCCCAAGGAGGGCTCAGCTGTGTGTGTACCACGCAGTAGCTGCGGCAGTTTGCACGAAATTCTGACACGCCACGGTTTAGGCTCTGGGTATGTCGCCTGTGTTTATGTCAGGTTGAAAACGAAGATTCTTACTTAGCTAGGCCATATACCTACCGATGCTACTGCTGGGATGTGCTGACGTCATGTGGGATGGTATTCGAACGCCAAATACTCGGCGGAACGTGAAAATATGAATACTTTTACTCCACGCAGGTGGAGTAAAAGTATTCATCTCTGGTTTATCCCACAGATGACTCCATGGCGCAGTTGCAAAGGTATTGGTTTCGGCGTCGGAGGTCGTGGTTTCGATTCCCACAGGAGACAACTATTTGTGTGACTCACATATAGTTGTTTTCCCATCTTGGTGGGACAACCTTACAACACAGGATAAAGTAAGCGCAATGTTTAACAAAAATAATTTCGACAGGGGCATATAAGGAATCGATCCATCGATATGAATGAATGCATTCATGGGAATACTGCTGGCGAGTGTCCAAATGGCTTTCGTAATACGCGGCGACGTAGCCTTGAAGTCGGTTGCGTCTAGATTCCTTTGGCTCTGACCACTAAGGCCACAAGGTCGTTTGAAAACTTCGCTCGAAGCGAGAGGGAACAGGCTTTTATCGAGTTAGTTTATATTATGCGCGCAGATGGCTAGCGAACGAAAAAAGTATAATTAGATTACTATTCTACAGACTGCTATATTTCCGTATCATACGTTCTATATCATCTGTCACATTAACTCATATATGTCATATAATGCAAAAGGGATCAATTTTTAACGCCGCGCAGTATGTTAATGCGTCATCTGAATTTTTCTGAACATTGAAACCTCATTGCCTGTCTTATTAAATAAACCGACATCAATTGCATTTAATGTCTTTTTCCACCAACAAAGAGTACTGGCACAGGAGCTAATTTTTTTTTTTTTACTGGAAATATAAAACCTTTATAATTAATAATATACAACGAAAGGAGCTTCGTTCCGACCTTGATTTTTTTTTTGAGCGCATATCTTTTTTTTTTCTAATTAACTTTTTTCCACACGCAACCATCAGGCATAACTCACACCGCCGTGGTGCCCCTCGACCTGGTCAAGTGCCGGCTGCAAGTGGACCCCGACAAGTACAAGAACGTGGTCAACGGCTTCAAGGTGTCCGTGCGCGAGGAGGGGATGCGCGGCCTCGCCAAGGGCTGGGCGCCAACCTTCATCGGCTACTCGCTCCAGGTCTGTACGGGGGTGGGAAAATCGTCTTTCGTTACAGTAACAGGATACCGCATGATGTGGATACTTATAAATATGAGAACAGTTCTTAATTAATTTGTATTTATCGTAGTTGCCCGTATCTTAGGTTAGTAATGCATAAACGTTTTTTTAAGTATATTCTAAAACTATTTACAGTGCCGGATTAAGCAAGCGCGGGGCCCGTAGCATATTCTTTCAAACACCCTCTGCCATGAGTTCTTAAGTATAAAGTGGTAAAAAAAAACAAAGCAATACTCTTACTTATGTAATAAATTTCATTCAAATAATTAAGGGGCCCATAGCAATTGATGATCTTGCTACGTGGTTAATCCGGCACTGACTAGTGTTACTCTCCATCCACCGATGATTATGTCAAATAACCAATTGTTCCTACCGAGTGGACTCTGACGACCGCTTACTCTATGAGGCGCTGTCTCTGCGAGGGCGCCGTCCAGGCTTCAATTTGCGTCGCTAATTGGGCGTTTCTTTTTTCCCTTTTCCAGGGCCTGTGCAAGTTCGGCCTGTACGAGGTGTTCAAGGTGACCTACTCGGGCATGCTCGACGAGGAGACGGCGTACACGTACCGCACGCTGGTGTACCTCGCCGCCTCCGCGTCGGCCGAGTTCTTCGCCGACATTGCGCTGTCGCCCCTCGAGGCGGCTAAGGTGGGTGGGTCGACGTCTTTTTTTCCGGACAATAAGTTGCTAGACGGCGTTTTATTTTTAAATTTAATGTCTAAGAGCAACTTATTTTTTTTTCTTTTTTTTTGACAAAAACTTCATATATAGGGTTTTTTTTTCTTTTTATCTTTCTTATAATTAAAGATAGACATTTTTGAATTTTTTGGACAAAACTTTGACACGTAAATTTTTCATTTTCATTCAAGAGGAAACATTTACTTTCAGAAATAGCAATTTTTCATTTTTAACTTTCTTTAATATGATTAGACTTTTTTGATCTTTTTTTTATTAAAGACCATTGCCGCACTAGGGAATCTTCTTCCTTGTGTCAAAATTTCACATATATGAAAATTCCTGATGGTTGGCAAGGTGGTCTGGTTTTTTTTTATGCGAAAAGTTGGCAAGCGAACATGGTGTTTGCCTGATGTTGAATACATATCGCCGTCCTTGGATATATACAAAACCTGTTATAGATGCGTTGGCAATCTTTTAAAAGTGGGCCCGTTACCTCACCAGACGAAACGCCAAAGTATAATACATCCAATTCACGGCGGTCTTCTGTAAGGCCGAGATGCAATACATGTCTGCCTATACATGCAACAGTCAAATCTACTGCGTGGCCCTGCCACAGAGAAATTAATAATTAATTTCAAAGATTGTGGCAATACTTTGTCAAGGACATTTTCGAAGCTGTACCGGCTCTACTAAGGTTTTGTCTGAAACCTTCAGTAGACTCCGCACTACGGAAATACGAACCTTTGCAAAGGTGGGAAACTTATTATTATTGATGGTGGTAAATTATTAAATCAAATTTCTATCATAAATAATTTATAGTTATTTATTACCAAAAGCAATGTTGAGTAAGGACCATTTTTGACATAATACATTTCTAATTACATCTACACGTAACATTTTTTTTATCTCGTTAAGAATTTATAATTATTTTATCTAATTTTTTTTTAGTTTATTAGGTCTGCTTAACTGAATACAATCTAGCATGTTTCTAAAACCGAAAAAACCTGAACACTTTCTTTTTTGTAGAGGCCAAAGAACCAGCGAATGTCAATATCAAATCTAATAGTATTACATAGCGAAGGCATGCGATACATAGGAGAGTTCTGGCAGAGTTTCGTTCTACTATAAGGCAAAATAAACGTTTTCCTATTATGAATACGACAACCTGCACGCGGAACCGAAAAATATAAACGCTCTAATAACTTTGGGGAATCAATAATGCCATGTATTAATTTATAGACAAACATTATGTCAGCAACTTTCCTGCGTGAAGAAAGGGGGTAGAAGTCCAAAATCTGACAAACGATCAGTGTAAGACTTAAATAATCGACATGTGCGATTATTGTAACACAGGTGATATAAAAAGCGTTTCGGGATACGCTCTAAGTAATGTAATGAGGACTCCATACATTGCTACAATATTCCAATTTACTCCGCACGAGAGAATTATACAATAGTATACTAATACATGGTTGCCCAATTTTTTTCATTTCCCTGCTAAGAAACCCAGATAGGGGTAAAGATTTATTTATAATGTTATCTATATAAACTAAAACTTAATGAGCTGTCGATAATCAGTCCTAAATCATTAATGCGTTCTACTTCCTGTATCTTTCGGTTCTCAGGTGAAAAGTTGGCTAACCGTTTTAATATTTTTCTACAAAATTTTATGTGAAAACATTTATCAAAATTCAATGACATTTAGTTAGATGTACGCCAAAAAACTAAATTATCGATATCAGACTGTAGTCTACCGTAATCTAACATCTTCATTGTCTTTAATGATGCGATATATTTTCAAATCATCTGCGTACATTTTAATTTTGTTTCTTTATTAATAACTTTTTTTTTAAGTTTATCTAATAAAGTTTCTTTTTTTAACCTTTTGAAACTTGGTGTTTTTTGTTTTTATTTTTCAATTTGTTTTGTTATATTATACCATTTATTTCGTTGATAATTCCTTTTTCTTTGTCACAATTAAGTTTATATATTCTTTGTCCACAAGTAATTACTTGTGCTAATTAACCATGAAATAACTCGATTTCAACACTGTCAGTTACTCGTATGTTATCTATAAATACTACATAATTTTAACATGATGTGGACGTCGGCGTACAAAACGTTCACAATAATTAGCGATTGATTATACATGTGCGTCTAAATTTGTACAATTTATTAACTCTCCTAATTTTAATTTCAATCTATTGTCCATTTTAATAGGCTTATAATTTAATAGTGTCGGTAGGGAATTGCAACCTACAATATTAAAAAAAATAATTTTTGAAAACTACTAAAAACAAGTCAATGATTTAAACACTTTAATTTATTATGATGGCTCCGTGGCGCAGTTGCCACGGTATTGTTTTCGGCGCTTGGGTCGTGGGTTCGATTCCCACACGATAATAACTATTTTCGGATCTCGGCGTTTGTCATCGTGAAATTTATGCGTATATTAACGAAAATCAAAACCGACTTCAAATATCTCGCTCTGTATTCATTTTTATAATTGACTTTCAGGAGTTCCCTAAGTATCTCTGGAGCCCAAGATCCAATACCAATGAAATTAATATGATGAATTACCAACAGATGTTGTTTCGCATCTAGGTGTTTGACCACGTGAAATTTATGTTTGTAAAACGCCTTTACAACACAGGGTTATTACCCTAGGCGCAATGTTTTTAAAAGAAAAAAAAAATGAATACAGAGCCGAGATATTTGAAGTTTGTTTTGTTTTTCGTTAATAAAAATATGGACTTGTTGTGTTAAAAGTTGGCAAACGAGCAAGTTATTTCAAAAGTGGGCCCCGCTTACCTCACTCGCCGACCACGAGAGTATAATACTTCCACTTCACGCCGGTTTTGTCGCTTGGTCCCGAAAGAGCCTGCCTATAGAGCACACCACACAGCACTAGCTACTGTTGCCCAAACCCGTGGGTTCTGGCTAGCCCACCGGTTCTGCGTCAGATGAAGCTTTAATAGTCTCGGGACTGAAAGCAAAAACATCAGTCAATACAAGATAAAAGACTAGCTACTGTGTGGTTCTACCACAGTAAAATAATCTAAACTTGGTTGCGTTCAAAATTTACTATAGCGTTCTACTGACGCACAATGCACGTTTTGTATAAAAAAAAGAATGTCAGAAAGAAGAAACGAATTTTCTATTGTTATTTCAAAAATATGTCGGTGTTAAGTTAAGGATGCATTTAAACTTATAATATTCTCATGTCATAATCAATAATAGATATTAAAATAGATAACATTTTTGTTACTAAAAATATCTTCCCCATTATAAAATTTAAATTTCGAGATGTTCTCTGATCTATCCGGAATTAAAGATCCAATAATAATGAAATTAATATATGTTCACATTTGAACCAATCGAACCCAATGCAAAAATATTTTTTAGGATACATACAATTCTCAAATGACGCTCTTCTAATGTAACGATCATTTAAAATATACAACCGCATTAGAAGTCGCTTGAAAAGTACAAAAATTCTCACGCTTCAAAGCAATAAAACCATTAAAGCAACAAGCCATTATATTCACCTCGTTAAAATTTGACGGCTTGTCTATTTTATGTTTCTGCACACTACTTTGTACTACTCATGTTGACAAGTATATAATGAAAGTGTTTACACTTTCTATATGTAAAATAATAAACATTCACCAATAACCTTGCTGAAACTATGAGCACTTTGTAGATCCCTCCTATCACAAATTAACTTCAATCTACTTTATTATTAAGTACCTAGGTAGTTTATGTAAGAAACTTTAAGACAACGGATTCCTAGGCAGCTACAATTATAAAAATGAGGTAAACTTTCAGAATATCTGCGAAATCTACGATGAAATCCACTTACATGAGATAATTATTGGGAATATATTTATTATATTTAAAAACAGTTATTGGGTTGTCTCCATTCGGTGCATATTATATTAATAGATAATATTATAGGAAACAACAATAACTGACATGGCTGTGCAAACATTTTTGTTAACATTTAATGGTTTGTTATGTGGTTATTAAATCGCATCTGAAAGTAAAAATAGCAATGCCTAAATCCTACACTTCTACTCGCGCAATATATACATAATTTATATTGAAATGCTCTTAAATTTGTATTTGTTAGAACTTTTATACTATAAATATTTTTATATTTGAATAATGTTAACCCTTAAAAATGCAAAATGCATTAATATATTTTAAAAGCGAAACTACGTTCGAAGATTACCTACAGCTATTAAAACACGAAAAGCCATTAAGAAGTTAAATACAGTCGGTACAGTCTTTTTTGACGGAAGACAAAAGAGCTCAAGTCGATTATCTCAATTAGTGGCATCGCAGATAGATGTTTTTTTTTGCGTTTCCGATTTCTTTACGTAGACTGTAGGTACACATGTTTATCAAGCGCGGAGAATCGAATCAAAATCAATCGAATCGAATCATTTATTTGTTGTCATAAGAAACATGCACGTCATCTATCGATAGTCATTTTTTTTAGTCTACCACAGTTTCTACATGAGGTCTCTCTCCGACAGGCTCTATCTAAGTAGAATCACTCATATAGACATGCGTGTATAAAGAAACGGAAATGTAATATACAACGTCCGCTCGCGACATGATATCGCTTTATTTTAGGCAGTGAACAAGTTTAAAAGTGATTAGCGAGTGCTCGCTTTACTTGTCCCTTATTATACTCTGAAAAACATGCAGTACAAGCTCTTTTTAAGCAAAGTCACTCATGTAGGGCGTGTACTAAAAAATGTATATGTAATTTAATAAACGTCCGTGCGCGTCATGATTTCGCCTTATTTTAGGCATTGACCCAGTTTGAAAGTGATAGCGGAGTTCTCGCTTTACTTGTCCCTAATTGCACTCTGAAAAATAATGTCATAGCACGGCAGTTACGTCTACATAACAACAGTTTTATACAATGTTAGCAGGCTTTCACACTTAGGGTTTTTAGCCCCAAATTTAGGGTGGAAATATGCACATTGGGCTTTATTTAGGATCCAAAAAGTTTAGGGACATGAATAATATTTCATGCATACTTTTGCCTGAAGAAAACGAGTAAAAAGATGTCTGATAATTAATGTAATTAATGAAATGTTAGTTAATATAATGTTGTTTATTAATTATTTAAACTATTTATAATGAAAAGTAATCACAACTGAGTTATATGTTATTTATCTTAGCGAAACGTGAAACTCATTTAAACCATAATTGTGTTAAAATACAATTTTTTTTTTTTTCATTTTATGGTGTTTTAGGGGTATTTCATCTTGATTTCGGAGGCATGTTTTTAAATAATTGATAAACCTGAATATTACACAGGCAAGCAGTGTATTTGACGCAAAAGTGTGATCCTACGGTCTATCAGATGAGGTTCGCGTCGCTTTCAGGTTCGCATCCAAACAATGCCCGGATTCGCCACGTCGCTCCGCGAGGCGTGGCCCAAGATGGTGCAGAATGAGGGCTACGGCACATTCTACAAGGGTCTCGTCCCGCTGTGGGGCAGACAGATCCCGTACACCATGATGAAGTTCGCCTGCTTCGAGAAGACTCTGGAACTGCTCTATAAGGTAGAGTGCAACCATTTTAATTTATTTTTGTATTCCGTGTGCACAATATTATGAGACTTCCCGCAGTCGCGATTTCTTATACAGCGAGCGACAAAAATTTGTCCGAAATTCCGACGACGTATCGACGATATTTTTCTAAACTTATGTTGTATACTGTACAAGCAGGCCACGGTGGGGTCATCAGACTCAGGTCTCAACTTATTCAGCACGCGTAATAATTACATATGTAAAAATTTAGTTTACGAATATTTGTGTCCACAAAATTCAAAAACATGTGAGATTTGAACACGTGTTCGGCGCTAGATTTTGTGGTCAATTTTAAACATTTCAATGTGAGCTATGTGTGTAACTAATTTACAATGAATCTTTTTGCGAGCTGATGATTATTTTAGTGTTGATAAATAGAATATCTGTAGAAGTGTTCGATGTGTGCGTGAGTTTGAACATCATATTTAGCATGCATTTAAGTCTTTTTTTCATCGACCTGCGAAACGAAATTAAAACTGGGTCGCGGGGAGATAAATACTCAAAATCACTAACATAAAATGAGAAACAAAACACTGAATAATGGAAGAAAGACCGAATATAAAATTGTACTATTCATGTCATCTAAACATCTGTGTGTTGTGTATGAATTCGTACGTCACGTTTTCCACGAGTATTGTGGTCGTTCCCCGGTATGTGGGGTACGTAATGTGTATGAATGCGTACGTTACGAATGTGTGTGTAATTCACTATACTTTTTATTTGATTTTTGGTAATATGGTACGGCCGCGTATGTGTCTGTTTGTGTGCGTTATGCGTTGTGTGTATTCACTTGCTTTGGTATTGTGGTCGAGCCCGTACGCCCGCGTGTGTGCGTGTGTGTGTGTGTGAGTGGGTGTGTGTGCGTTCGTGCGTGTACATTTGTTTTCTTCTGCCCGTACAGTACGTGGTGCCGAAGCCGCGCGAGCAGTGCACGAAGGGCGAGCAGCTGGTGGTGACCTTCGCCGCCGGATACATCGCGGGCGTGTTCTGCGCGATCGTCTCGCATCCCGCCGACACGGTCGTCTCCAAGCTCAACCAGGTAACCGTCTTTCGTGTGAAAAATACCATATATTAAATGTTACAGCCTCACTGCTGACTTAAGGTACTGTTAGTGTTCGACCGCTAGCATTTGATGGTCAGTAGCTCGGTAAGTCTGTCTGCTCTTGCCTTAAACACGTCCAATTTAACTTCACGACTGCTGCAAAAAACTTAGATTCAAGTTTCCAAGTAAAAATTGTAGATTTTCTAAAGTCCCTGACCGACGCTTATCTAAAATGCTCAACCTAAGTAAGATGAATCGAAAGCAAAATTTTTGATGTTAAACATCTATTGCGGCGACCTACTGTTGGCGTGGTGACGCGTCGCCACGTGAGCCGTGATGCGTATGAAACATCTTATACGGTGTGATGATGTGACAAAAAAATATTGAATTTCTAATATTTGTATAAAATTAATGTGTTTATTATATAATTAATAATGTTTTTTTTTTAAATCTGATTATTTTATTTTTGATTATGCCATATTTAGTTTGTTTCATAAAATATCATTTTATGTATAATATGCATATTCACAACGTAACTTCGATTTCGAACAAATCAAATGTTACATCTTACGTGCAGAGATTAGCGCTCTAAAAATATAAATTTGATTGATCTATATAAGAAAAAAGTAAAATGATTAGTTTGGTTGTTGGAAGCACGCAGGTGTGTCGTTATTCTTCCCTGCGATGTTTATTGCGAGCAATTAACACAATAATTTTCTAAGTTACCTAGTTGCAACTATAAAATGTGTTCGAATTGATTCTAAGAAATATGTATAAATTGTTAATGGCATTTCTTTTTGCCAAACAGTGAATATTTTTGTTTGTATGAATGCTAAATTAAATATCAATAACAAAAGTGACATTTCAAATACTATGTGACTATACTGTACCAAAAAGTTTGTACCTCTGTTTACGAAAATTACGCGGACGGAGGAGTATGAAATTTCCCACACTTATATAGAGAATGGGTGCAGAATGGTAATTTTTTAATAAATTATGCATAAAAATGCATTAAATCTAAATAGAAAACATTACACACACCACCATGTATTTGACACACTCATGCATATATAATCATTTATTGTGTATTGTATTGAGAATAGAGAATAGTTCAAACTTGTAATTGAAATTAATTATGCACGAATTTCGAACACTCGGCGTCCCACTACTTAGTAGTAAAAAGGCGCAGATTCGAATTCTGACAGCAACTAACTAAAAAGTTTGCTACATTTTTATGTAAGCATTTTAGTTTTCATGCTCATTTGATATGAGCTTCAGTATAAAATCGCGTTGGCTCGTGTGAATTGCAGGACAAGACCGCGACGGTCGGCTCCATCGTGGGCAAACTCGGCTGGGCCGGTGTATGGAAGGGTCTTGGACCGAGGATCATCATGATCGGTACCCTCACCGCTCTGCAGTGGTTCATCTACGACGCCGTCAAGGTAATGTACAATTCTCATTATTTTTCATAATCACCAGGAGCTTTTCGATTACTCGTATGTATTTCGACTCTTAGACAACAATAGCTACGGATTATTTTAGAGATCGTACAATACTAGATTTTAAGAACGATGTCACGAGATAATTATAAGTAAATTACCGCACATCTGTACATAGAATTATGGCACATTTATAAGTATAGAATAAAGCTGATTTTCTCCATTCCAAACATCATTAGAATCTGAAATCATCAACAATCTGGGCGAAAATATTGAAATAAAAGCAAAACTTATTCAATGTTAATCGGCTTATGGAGACGAAAAGCATATAAATACGAAACAATGATTAAATTAACTAATGAAAATTCTGTTTAAAAGTGAATTTATTATTCCAAAACTGGAAAATGGACATCATGCATATAAAAACTAAACGGATTATTCTAAAGCTTATTTCGGAGTCGTTCACATTTTATTAGGGGTCAAATCGTTAATTAGTCGAACAGTCGGCAATTCGGAATATTGCGAAAAGTTCGCGAACATGTGCACCGCCAGTAAACAAGTCCTTTTTGAGAACGCCGAATGATTACCTGTAATAAAACAATTGTTCCTGCCTACAACATTTGGTGCGGATAATAAAAACTATGAGGCGACTCAAAAAGGCACCCGATGAATCACCCCTTCGTCTATTTTTAATGTAAAAGTGGAGAATTTTATGTTCGTTTTCGCTCGTCATCGAATGTTTGCTGTATTTGGCGAAATATTCGCTGTTTCTATTTGAATCTTTAATGTTCGAAATAAAAAGACTCGCTTTCAGGATTGCTTGGTATTACATGTTTATTTAATTAGTAATTTTTAAGGAATCTTCAGCTATCATAAAGTCGCAAAAAAGGACTATTTAAGTAGGTCTTGAAAAATAATTATAAAACTAACGGTTTGGAAGTTGAGAATGTGTGAAATTTGTCAATAATTCAAATCACACGCTGTATGCGATGCGTACGTGTGCAAATGTTTGCCAAAAATCCTAAACGTTCCGGTGGTCGTTGAGCGAATATATGTACTAAAAACGCGTGGGTGACGATTTGGCAGATGTTGGAAATAATCCGTTAAGGATAGCCACTTATATACGCCGCTGTGTAACTTCAGGTGTGGCTGAGGATGCCCAGGCCGCCGCCCGCCGAGATGCCGGAGTCGATGCGCAAACGCCTCGAAGCCGAGGAAGCGGCGAAGTCCAAGTGAACGACACGGGGAGCTTAGCACAATAACCATCTAACTCCATGCACAAGTTTTGAATCGTACGTTTAGTACGCGCCAAGTTCAGTGCGAACGTTAATTTCAATACCGGAAGTAAGTTATATCGTCTCTACCTCCGTTACTACTTTGTGTGAACTAGAAGTCTCAGGACTTAGCCTTTTAAGAACCTTCTATGTTATTCGACACAGCGGGACTTTGTACCAATATATTCCAGTCCAGTTGTCAATTCGATTCAGAATTGTTCATGGGTTACATCTGTTACAAAGTTAGTTATCAATAGCAAGTTTAAAATGTATAAGGAAGTAGATGATGGAATAAAATGTGTTATGCATATAGTGAGTCTCGCTACATAATGGTTATGCTGCGCACATAATTATGTATTATATATAGGTTTAAATTGTGATTACCGTTTAAAGTATGTAAGGATGATCATGTTAAATTATTTTACTTTTATCTCGAATAAATATTATTTTTATTTATTTATTTCTTTATTTTATCAAATAAAATGTGTTAGGTACATCTGATATTATATACATATGCATACATATATAAAACATTCTGTAACCAAAGAATGTGTTTGCATTCTTTCTTTTTGGAAAAATAAAATTCAATAGTTAATGTAGTCGTTTAATTTAATATCTTTTGATTTCTCAATTATATTTTTTCCTCCACATTTTATAAAGAAAATATTGTTAATTTTTAATTAAAGGGCTAAGATAGATAGTGATAATATTTGCTTATACAAAAGCTTTCTATTCACTATGGTTTATTTCTACGTTTTGTGACATCCAGATACTAAAATTATATTTAATTTATATAGACATCGTTCTTTATTACGTAAATTATAACCGCTATAGGAGGGATGAACAGTATCGGAATAAAATAACTTCAGTGTAAACTGGTAAGCGATCCAAAATACGGCGACCATTTATTTCGTTTGGAGCATGTGCAAAACTAGAAGAAATATATTATTTCAAATACTTATTATTTTTATAACGTTTATAGCCGTGTATTTTAGAAAAAATCATTAAAAATATATATATTCTCTTGTTGGAATATCAATATTTGAAAATGTATAAATTTTTATTCATTTTTTACTGCAGCTTTACATAATTTTAAAAAGTAATCGAAATCAGGGGTACCATAGTCTTCCTAACAAAAATCCTTCATAAATTAGAATATTCAATCTATCCCGAGGTACAAACTACTTCATGAACATGTTTATAACTTGATGTAGAAAATTGACTGCCGTAAGCGAGACAGAGAGAGTTATTTTCGCATCTATAATATTAGTATGGGTCATATAATTGTAAATAAGGGCGACGCCAACAAGAACGATGCGAAACTCGCAATCTCTACATACTTTGAACTTTAGAATTTATAATGCATTTTAAATGTTAAGTATTATAGAGTAACAAATTAGGAGGAAAATAAAAACATAAAATATATTTTTTAAGCGCATAGTGAATAGCAAGCTTAATAGTACTAGCAATAAACAATAACAATGGGCCCTTTGAGAACGCCGCCTCCAAAACAACCCCGCCTCTCTCTCCCCAACCTTTGCCAAGACACTAGAGCAGAATTCCGATTAGTTCGGAATTCGCGGCGGTCGCTGACGCTCGCTTAATTTATTTATTTATGTGTGCATTAACATGAACTATAGTGGGTTTATCTGTGTATTTGTGTAACAATAAAATTATATCGCCTTATATTGTGTATGTTTGTTGTATGTGTTAGTCTTTTTTTTAATATTTTAAATTGTGCTTTTTATAACACTTTAATTTTTGGGATGTGATATTTTTTGCTAGTGGATTGATGATTGTTAGAAAAATGATGTTTCGCTAACTGCAGTCTTAACGCTTTTAATGCATGAAGTGTTGGTGTTGTGGAATTGGTGAATCGCTTCGGCTGGTTCGTGTTAATGCCGGTGTAGGTGCTCATGTAAGTACATTTAATTTTGATTACGTTTAAGCGCTGAAAGCACGACTTGTATCACAATTTAATTGAGATTAAAATGTTCACTACAAATAATTTTGGCACTTGTATAACTCGTAGCATTGATAAGTTGCCGTCGGCGCTTAAATGTACACCGCTTTGCGACTAAATTTCTTGTTTCACATGTGTATACAGTCTCATTTTGTTTAAATAAAAATTTGCCTTATTTACCTATTTTTATGCTATGTAATATTGCCGCTTGCATTATTGTTTGTAGCACTTGTGCTTTTATAATTAGTATCGCACTTTGTTACCTAACTCTAATCACCATCCGCCGCTATTGATAAAAGAAAGACTTCGTTGCGTGTTCGATTCCTGCGTGGAACAATTTGATGTATCGGAATATCGTGTGAAACCTGGCTAGTTCATTACGAAAAACTTCTACTTTTTAATTCGCATAGGTGAGTAAATGTTAATATTTAAAAGATCTAATAAGTTAACGTATGAACAGTTTGCGAGCACAAGTGCTCGAACAGTGGACCGAAAAATAAACTATATTTTTTTATAAACATACGAAATAAAAAAAAATTACCATACTTGTTGTTAATACTCTCTTTTGAAAAATAATTGTAAACACGTAAATTATTTATGTCTATTACATTACTAATTTTAGGTAACTTCTATTTGAAAACAACTATTTAACACTTAATTTAGAACAACTAGAAGAAATTTACACAGCCCATATGCACAATCTAGCTTGATTTTTTAATAAACCCGATGGGATCCACCAGCGCCATCTAGTGAAAATATATAAGAAAGTATATTCGTCCTGGTTAATAAAACATGGGAACATGAGAAATGTCACAAATGGTAAAAAGACAGACATTTAGAATACTATTTACAAGAATTAGGCAACATGCTTACGTCTTCTTGATCAACTTCAATGTTCAAGGAAGGTATAGTAGCAATTTTCAATCGACAAGAAGTACCAAAGCGTTTGATTACCTACTTGGTAACTAATCAGTCAATAATAGTCTAAAATTGCTGAATGCAACTGATATTGAATAGACAACAACTGACTGTTGAGTTGCTGTCCCAGTCAATACCAATAAATCACAGCCATTTAATATTTTTTAATCTTTACAAGCATTTCCAAAGTTACTTAAGCTATAGTGGGGGACGTTAGATAAAATAGTAAATATACAGCATAAAATATTATTTAGATACACAACAACATTTTCCTTTACTCCATAACTTTAAATATTCACCTCCCATGCTGCATCTAATAAAATGAACCAAATATTGTTCATAGGTACACACCACCTATTTATACATTTCAAAATATTAATAAATGAGGTAGGACATTATGCATAAGTGAACAACACCCCTTTATAAATTTTTATATTCTTAATATTATAAAGTTGTTTTATAAGTATATTTATTACTTTCTATACTACTCTTTATAATATCTCCTAATATGTGTACTAATAGGAGATAATATTATAAGGAGGCACTAAGCCCTTACTAAAAAAATCACTAATTCAAAGGTACAGCTTTTTAAAAAATGATTAAACAACAACAACAGGATACATTATATTATTGTATAATATAAACATAAACAAAAACTAATCAATTATTCTCAATTTTATAACACTATAAGTAATTAGTAGTACTCAAGCTATGATTTTGATATATACAGTATATAATGTAATATACCATACCATGATATACTACCATGACATACCATAATAATGTAAATACTGTGAAATGTGAATAATTGCAATAAATTCGCTAGATAGATAAAATTAAATTTAAAAATAATAGATAGACCGACGACCGCAGTTTAGGCTGACCCTCCTACTGGATGGAGTGACAACCTGTGCAAATGTGAATGTGCGGGAAGTTGATGCATGTAGGTGGCTCAGGATCATGCTTTGTGGCAGTCTGTGGGAGAGGGCTATGTTCAGCAGTGGACTCAAACAGGCTGAAATGATGAAGTAGACTGAACTTACTTAGCTGATTTTTGTATCCAAAATATTACAACTATTAGTAACAAAACAAGTCAAAAACAATACCTTTTAATCAGTTAAGAAAATGGCCATGCATGCAGATTACTTACTTTATTTCTCCTTGGCTAAGCTCATTGTACTAAACCTGAAATATCAATAATTATGTAACATATTTAAAGACATTCAAGGCATAATATACAGATAAGAAAAGCCCATGTGCTCACAGTATGCAAATGGATTTGTGTTATTGTTTATTAAAGTATGCATTTTCTTAAGTATTGAAAGCTCTAACATTCAATTTAATCATAGATATTATTTTACCAAAAAGTATTTTTTCAAATAAGCTGTAGGTGGCGTTATTTCTCAATGCATGTTCATCATTGCATTGAAGCATTATTTTCCTAGGTCAACTCCCAAGTTTGTATTTGTTTAATTTTGACGGTTGTTTGCCTTTGATTTCAATTTTAAATATTTTATGTTAATTAATTTCGTCTATTGAAATATTACAGCTCAACAGAACATATTAGATAACCGTTACAACTTACAATATTGACTATATTTGTCTTCTATACTAATTCGAAGATTGTATTGTCTACAGCGCCATCTACCCAAGCTGTCCTTAAATTCTAACGTTAAAATTTTCTTACCTGTTTGTATTCAGCAAATTTCAGCATTCATTAGGACAAAAACTTATGTTTTTGTTAATTATTGAGTAATATTTAAATATTATATTATAATCAAATAATAAGAGTTGTTACCAACACCAATTGTTTTAAGGACTTTGATAAGAAATGTTTTCATTAAGCAAACTCTTTTTAAGGTGCTCTATTTATATAAATAAAATTTTTTATTTTTGTAACATTTTCTACTTTTAAGCAATGTTGTATGACCACATTCTTGTTATTAGTGATTAAGTTTAATGACATAGATTTAATAATTTACAATTCGCAATTATTGTAACAATTTTTATGTATTACTATAATTATTAACATAAATATAACTTATACTGTGAACTGTCTGATGCAATAATTGTGATAA